GTTGGTGTTGGGCTGTGACACCTCTCCCTGCCCCTGGTCAGGAGTTGGGCTGTAGGACCACACACTGTAACCTGGAGGTGGTGCAGAGGAGCACCTTGGTCTTCCTGGCCACCAAACCCCACGTGCTGCCAGGAGTGCTGCAGGAGATCCGACCTGTGGTGGGATCTCACCACGTCGTCGTCTCACTGGTGGCTGGTGTCACCATCCAGACGCTGCAGAGGGTGAGCCTCCTCCTCCTTCTCTCCTCTTCCTTCTCCTCCTGCTTCTCTCCTTCTCCTACTCCTTTTCCTGCTTCTTTCCTTCTCCTCCTCCTCCTTGTTCTCTCCTTTCCCTTCTCCCTCTCCTCGTTTTCTCCTTCACTTCTCCTCCTTCTCTCTTTCTCGTCTGTCCATCTCCTTTTCTCATTCTCCTTACCTTCTCCTTCTCCTCTCTTCTCTCCTTCTGTGCCTCCTCTCCTTCTCCTCCTCCTCTCCTTCTCCTCCTCCTCTCCTTCTCCTCCTCCTCCTTCTTCTTTTCTTCTCCTCCACCTTCTCTCCTTCTCTCCTCCTTTCTTATTATTCCTTTTTCCTTCTCCTTCTCTCCTCCTCTTCCTTGTCCTTCTCTCCCTCTCCTCCTCCTCATCTCCTCTTCCTCCTTCTGCCCCTCCTTCTCCTCCTCCTCCTTCTTTTCTTCTTCTCCTCTACCTTCTTCTCTCCTCATCTATTCTTCCTCCTTTTTTCCTTCTCTCCCTCTCCTCCTCCTCCTTGTCTCCTCTTCCTCCTTCTCCCCCTCCTTCTTCTATCCTTTTCCTCCTCCTCCTCCTCCTCCTCCTTTTCTTCTCCTCCTCCACCTTCTCTCTTCTCTCCTCTTCTCTTCTTCCTTTTTTCCTTCTCCTCCTTCTCTTCTCCTCCTCTCTTCCTTCTTCTCTCCCTCTCCTCCTCGTCCCCTCTCCCTCCTTCTCCTTTTCCTCCTCCTTCTCTTCCTCCTCCACCTTCTTCTCTCCTTCTCTCCTCCTCTCTTCTTCCTCCTTTTTTCCTTCTCCTCCTTCTCTCCTCCTCCTCTCTTCCTCCTTCTTCCCCCCTCTTCTCCTCCACCTTCTTCTCGCCTTCTTTCCTCCTCTCTTCTTCCTCCTCTTTTCCTTTTCCTTCTCTCCTCCTCTCTTCCTTCCCCTCTCCCTCTCCTCTTCCCCCTTCACCTCCTTTTCTCTTTCTCTCATTCTCTGCTCCTCCTCCTCCTACTCCTCCTCCTCCTCCTCCTCCTCCATTTGCACCTGGACTTCTGAAGGACACACCATCACGTCCTTCTCCCCACCCAGTTGCATCTCCAGCTCCTTCCCCACAGACCACACTTCTCCCCCAGCCCCAGTGGGTGTCACCCACAGGTGTCTGAGGACACCCTTGGGTCCTCCCCGGAGCTGGCACCTTTCTCCCATCCCATCTCTCCTCAGCTTCTCCCTGCCTGGACCAAGGTGCTGCGGATCATGCCCAACCTGCCCTGTGTGGTGCAGGCAGGGGCAATGGTCTTCTCCAGGGGCAGCAATGCTGGGGACGAGGAAGCTGCTCTGCTCAAGTCCCTCTTGTCCTCCTGTGGGCTCTGTGAGGAGGTCCCCGAATCCTACATCGACATCCACACCGGCCTGAGCGGCAGCGGCGTCGCCTACGTAAGCACGCGGTGGCCACCAGCTCAGCAGCAGAACATGGGCCACCAGCCCATGTCACCCCCCAAACCTGTGGTGGGTTTGGGGCTCACTCCTCCACGCTCTCCTCCCCCAGGTGTACCTGTTTGCCGAAGCGTTGGCCGAGGGCGCGGTGAAGATGGGAATGCCAGGAGCCTTGGCCAGCAGGATCGCAGCGCAGACGCTGCTGGTGAGTCCATGGGGACACCTGGAATTGCTCCTTTCCTTCCCACCCAGCCCCAGGGGCTGTGACAGCCATCAGGGTGAGGGTTCTAGATGCTGTTCTACCTCGGTTTCCCCTCTGGAAACCAAAAATCACCCCAGGTGTACCTGTTTGCCGAAGCGTTGGCCGAGGGCGCGGTGAAGATGGGAATGCCAGGAGCCTTGGCCAGCAGGATCGCAGCGCAGACGCTGCTGGTGAGTCCATGGGGACACCTGGAATTGCTCCTTTCCTTCCCACCCAGCCCCAGGGGCTGTGACAGCCATCAGGGTGAGGGTTCTAGATGCTGTTCTACCTCGGTTTCCCCTCTGGAAACCAAAAATCATAGAGTCATAGAAGCATCAAGGTTGGAGGAGACCTCTAAGATCATCAAGTCCAACCCTTGGCCTGTCATTCTGAATCATAGAATCATAGAATGTGAAAGGGTTGGAATGGACTTTAGAGATCATCTAGTCCTGTGCAGGGACACCTCCCACCAGAACAGGTTGGTCAAGGCTTGATCCAACCTGGAGTGAACACTGCCAGGGTTGGGGCAGCCACAGCCTCCCTGGGCAACCTGTGCCAGTGTCTCACCACCCTCACAGGGAGGAATTCCTTCCCAATATCTCACCTAACTTTCCTCTCTTTCAATTTATCTCCATTACTCCTTGTCCTGTCACTCCAGTTCCTAACAGAGTCCTTCTCCATCTTCCCTGGAGCCCCTTCAGACCCTCGAAGGTTGCTCTGAGGTCTCCACACAACTTTCTCTTCTCCAGGCTGAACAGCCCTAACTCTCTCCTAGGAGAGGTGTTCCAGTCCTTTGATCAGCTTTGTGACCTCCTCTAGACTTGCTCCAACAGTTCCATGTCCTTCTTCTGTTGGAGACACCAGAACTGTAGGCAATAGGTTCTGCTCAAGAATGATGTCACCAGAAGATGGCAAAGAGCACAGTGATGGGACAGTCCATGAGGGTGATGGGATGATGGTACTTTGGGTGAGGAGATAGGTCTTTGGGTGGGTTGTCTTCTCTCTGAGCCAGCCTGGTCTCTTGTAGGGTGCAGCAAAGATGATGCTGGAGACAGGAGAGCACCCAGCAAAGCTGAGAGGAGATGTCTGCACACCAGGAGGGACCACGATCTACGCGCTGCACCAACTGGAGAAGGGAGCACTGAGAGCCACCGTCATGAACGCCGTGGAGGCAGCCACCAACAGAGCCTGTGACATGGCCAAGGACTAGTGACCTGGCTGGGGATGAGCCCCTTCTGGGCCAGGAGGGGTGATGGGGACCAAAATGAGCCCCTTCAAGGAATAGGGGGACACTGACACCCTCAGGAGACCCTGGCTGGGGGTGGGAGGTGATGTGACCACGTGGCTATGCCATGTGTGACCTCTGCAGGGTTGGAACCAAATAAACGTGGGCAGAGTGATGGTTGGTGTGGCTCTTGGTGGTCCCTTCAGGCCTGGGGGGATGTGGTAGCCACCACGGGGTCACCTCCACGGGGAGGTGACAGTTATGGGTTCCCTGAGGTGGCTGAGATGGAGCTGGTGCCACACTGGCTCTGGGTTTAATGAGGATAGAACTGGTGCTGTGGTCACCAAGGATGGAA